GACAACAAAAACGTAAACATTTAGAGTCAGTTTGAGTGTCCGCTGTCGGATGGCCGCTGCCTGCGCAGATACACGGTGAATGGAAGATGGAGACCTTGCTTTCGAGAGATCCACTGTGAGGTGCCACGCTCATACTTGAAACCCTAGGGATGTTTGGCTTTCCTTCAGGACAACTGGCTGGAGTTTCCAGAATTGGGCAAACGAGCTCAGTTGCCTGACAACGAGGCGAGCCAACCGCGTAATGCCTGAGTCATGAAGCGAAACCGAGCAAACTGGATTTTCCGAAGCGACACGAAGGTCATGACTTTGAGGTCTCGCCTGCAAGAGCTTCAGCGGCTCGCACGCAAGGGGGCAGAAGAAGGGCAAGAAGGCCAATCACCATGACACCATGATATCTCACCATGACTCTATGTGTGGATAGGAGGCCAAGCGACAGGTGGACAGGCTTTGTGGCTTGTGGTGGATCCTGGCTGTGCTCCTGGCTGAGCGTAGCAAATCGCAGCAAGCTGAAGGAATTTATCTGCAGGACATTGCATAGAACATTGCATACCGTTGCATTGTTGACTGAGGTTCAGCTCTCATCTCGAGACCAATCGGGCTAGACGCGGTCACACTGTTGGAGTCCGACGATGTCCGCATGCTGGATCCTGGGCTGTTTGGTGCTATCTGGTGCCAGCGGGCAACGACTTGCACCTGCGTCAGGATCTTGCAGGAAAGGTCCGGGCAAGATTTGCTGTAAAACTCACCTCATGAGCACACGGCCCCTCCGGCCAAGAAGAGGCTCCGTCAGATGGGGCGCTGCCCTTACAAAATGCCAACAGAGATGTCAGGCCTTGTCAGAAGCATCAGAGAGCCTGAGCTGTTAGCGATTGCGGGGCGCTAGCAAAACAAGTGTCCAAGTGCGCCTCCCAGACTTTGTCCATCTCCTGATCCAATCCCTCGCATGTTGGAAGCATCTTTCTCGGATTTTTTGGGCAGGCCGCCCGACAACGCCAGCCATCACAGTTCGAGGCCATGCCGCGTGCGCGTCTTTCTTACGCAAGTGCAGGCTAATGCATGAACAGGTTGGTGACCGCGTCACCTTCAAAAAGGCGTGGCCTCCTGGATTCAGCAAGGTCAAGAGAGGTCAAGAGCATGACCTGGCAGGTGCAGCTGGGGGCGGCGCTACAGGCCTGTGCTTGCAGCCTCGTGGCACAGTTGGATCGCAGTTTTTGGCCAGTCACAGGCTTCTGCCATGCATATGTGGTTCCGCAGCAATGGCATCTCGCCATTGAGAGGCCTGGAAGCACCAGATGGTTGGCACCATTGCATCAGCCGGGTGCTGAAAGAGAGCAATTCCTGGTAGATTTTACAGAGAAGCTTGTCGAGTCCGCCGCAAGTTCGTCGCGTCAGGCACAGTCTCAATCAGATCAGTCAGGTCCAGAAACGACATCGAGAGACAGACCAGAGCCCGAATCAGAAACAGAAGGCTGTGAGTCCAGAGCAGGAGTCGGGAACAACTGCCAGCAACACAACTCCAGAGCAAGGAAGGAATTGGCTGTTTAGGAGGGTTTAGTCAGGGTTGAGGGGTTTTGGGATTGTTTGGGATGTATATAGGGCTTGGGGTTCGAGGCTTTAGGGCTTGGGGTTGCTTAGTGCTTAGGGTTGTGTACGTGGTTTGCGGTTGTTGAGGCTTTAGGATTGAGGTTTTTTTAGTAAGGGTTCAGGGTTTGGGCTTGTCGAGGGCTTTGGTCTTTTTGGGCTTAGGATTGTCTAGGTTTTTTGGTTGTTTCGCTGTTTGGGACCTGAGTTTTTCATTGAGCTTTGAGTTTAAGGTGGCGGATGTTGAGGGTTTATGGTTGGGGTTGTTTGGGCTGGCGGCTAACGGTTGAGGCCCCGCTTTGTGACGCCAATGATGTTTGGAGGGTTTCGAGCTTCTGGGCTTGTGAAGGTTTTCGCTGCGGTGACGGGGAGGGGAGTGGGGAGGGGCGAAGGCCATTGGGTCGGGTTCGCTTGATGCAACCTGCGTTATGCGGAAAAAAACAACTGGGCACCGTGTCTTTGCTGATGCAAGCACGAAACCTGGACACGAGTGCTGATTGTCGGCTTACATAAGCAGCGGCTTTGGCAGGAGCTGTCGAGCCTCGGTACGGCCAAAAACAAGCGCTGATAAAAGCAGGAGTTCTGATGCAATCAGCGCTATCCTTAACATGTACTGCAGGGGATAATGGGGATAGTTCTTTTGCTGGCACGTGTGCAAAACCCTGGCAAGAGTGATGAGTTTCAGCCTGCCTAAACGCCAGTGCACCTCTGCTGCGCGCAGAATCCCTCAGTTTTCAAAATTATAGCCTGTTGCAAAGCAGGAAAATATGCCCCAAAAGCTCATGATCGCAATGACGGGCTTTACCTTGGTTTACGTTGAAGGGGGTAGAGTTTGGTTTGGGGTAGTTTCCTCACATCCGATTGTACACATGTACTTCAACTTCATGAAGAAGGTGACGGGAAGTGGTGAAGAACGACGCTATGTCCGGCGCTGTGATTTGTGCAGCTTTGTACAGTTTCTGGGAAACCTGCTCCCATGCAAGATGCTACTCGTGTGATTTCAACAAAGCATCTGTCTGGCTCACGGCACAGGGACAGCTCCTGACCCGACGTGGACGTGATAAAGCGCATACATCAGCAAACTTACAGCTTTCTTGTGCATTTGAAAGCGAGACAATCCAGGGTGCCCTCACTACATACGCTTTAGAGCGTTGACTCGTGCGAGCTAAAGACTGCATGGTGGAAGAGCATAAAGGCTACACGAGTGAGGTGCGGCAGAGTGTGGTTGTAAGTTGTTGGTGCAGAGACTGTCTCGGTCCACTCTTGTCAAAGTGTGTGGGCTTGCAACAAACCGGCTGGTGAAGGTGGCAGATGCCGCTCTTCTCATTGAGCAGTGGAACGGTGTCAAAAACAACTTCAAGCCACTCACACCAATCACATCATCTTACCGTCAGCCGCCTGGCTCGCATGGTCTGGTTTCTTTGCTGTAGCTTTTCAGAATGGCAGGGAACCGTGCAACAGATGCTGCACTGATCATGAGGAAGGATGTTGGCATCTCGGGGGATCCCAAATTTCACGAGATGAAGCACTTCCTCACCAGCCACTCACATCAGGCACTGCACATGCGGGTGGGAGCGAAATAGTAAGGACTCTTAGAAGCACCTTGCTACAAGTACCAGGAAATAAGCTTCATGAGGGTACGTAGTCCTGCTCGCCATGTGCTGTCCAAAGTTGGGTCCAGGAATGAAAGGCCGTTGACAAATGTCTTTGAGCTGTACATGAACAGTGGATGTCAGGATCGCCTGGTGGCTCGCGCCACTGGTGTTTCTGAGGGTGATGAATCTCCCCGGAAGGACTTCTGTACATTGAATGTGCATGTGGCATCATTGCAGCCGCTCGCATGCGTCATGAAGCAGGAAGGCGTTGACATCATGAACTCAAAAGCCAGGCAGCTTGCCCACGAGGCAGGTCCTGGCAGGACCTTGCCATGTGTCCGCTGGCTTTTTTTTGCCATCAGGCGCGGGGAATGGAAAGCCCAGTGTCCAAGACGTCGTCGCTTCGCGGCTTCAAGCAATCTGAGTTCTTGTGCCCAGAGTGGCATAACATTCAGCAAGCTTTGCCCGTTGCTACTCAGGAACTTTACAGCATCCCCTAGGTTCCTTGGAGACACTTAAGCCAGCGCCGGCCATCCATGCAAAAGCTCCCACGGACAGGATGAATTCGAGGCTGCGCAGCTAAACAAAGGTTTGCACTGACTGGCACATCAACACTCACAAGCTCGTCGTGGGTGCCGCCTGCTGCGACATCTTCGTCACAGAGCCTTGCAACACATTCCGCTAGACTGGAGTTCAGATGTGCGCCGCGTCTGTGCTGTGCAGTTGCAATTGCTGTGTGGAAGACACGGTTCGCTAGCGGTATCACCGGAGTTCGGACATGCTTGACCTTCGGTCAGTGACTTTCAAAGCTCCGCTCTGTTTTTGGGAAACTTGAAGCTTCCCAATGCCCAGCTGAGGTCTGGAGAAGTATCCCCTACAAAGGTCGAATCGCCACGAAAAGGACGTGAGGCTGCCCGCATGATTGGTACCTGTAATCACGTTGGAATACACGTACAGCATCAGGAGATGGGACCTTTATAGGCGAAAGTAGGCATGACTTTGTGCTAGATGGTTTAGATCGTCGACTAGCGCCTAGTATGCACTCAATCGCCCAGTGATCGTGATTAGCTTTGTCACATGCTGTGTTTGCAGGTCCTGTCCTTTGTTTGCTATACCCTCCATCCAAAACAATGCTTTTGTCAACTTGGTCCAGCAAGATCCATGGCTGAGAAGGGAAAACTTTCTGCTATGAGAGCACATGGTGCGGTGTTCTCTGCAAACCCTGGTGTCCAGTAGTGGATAGCGGGTTTTGGGTAGATTGGCTGTCGGCCAATCTTATTGCAGAAGTTTTCCAATCTCTTGGGACATCAAACCAATACGATTCCATTAGAAATTGTTGCAACAAGAAATCGACCTGCAGTCACTCAGCAATACCGTGTGCTGCCATTCGTGCTATTCGCGGTGCAGATGCTTGCTAGAATGAGTCCAGAAGGTGATTCTTGGTGAAGAGGCAGAGCCTTGGCAGCAATGGTTTGGAAGAACCGTGACGTGAACCATCGGCAACTCCTAAATCGGTTTCAAAATCGCGTCACTTTGTAGCATACTGCTCTCTCAGCTGGTTTGCTTTCAACCGGTTGCTAGCAATCCAATTTCTGAGAATGCTTGGCATGAGGGCAGGGTGCAGTGTAGTGCTAAGCTTTCAGGTCAGGGCTTGGGAGAGAACGCAAGGTGACAGCCTTCGGGTTTCATACGGTTCAGGACTGTATTCTTGGGCCTGCTTGCTGAGGGTCAAGAGTTGATGATTCTAGCTTACAACTTCTGCGGTTCTGTCCGGCTTGGGGCCAGGGAATTTGGGATCGGAGCAAAGCTGTCAGTTTTTCCGAGGCCTGGATACATCTTTAGGTCACTTCAGGTCACTTCAGGTCTTCAGGTGTATGGTTGGGGTTCCGGGCGTCGGGTTGATCTTTGATTACTTGTTTCGCGGTTTAGTGAGCGAGCAGGGCTGGGTCACTTGAAGGTTTGAGTCTGGGTTTCCTGCTGTTTCGTGGACATACGGGTTTCTCCAAATTTTCGGTATGTTAGGGTTTTGCAGGGAGTTTCTCCAAAACAGGGTATTTAGGGATCCTGGATATAGTATTCATGGCCTACAGGGAGATTATCAGGGTCGGTTTTGGGAGTGTACAGGGATTGTGTTGAGAAGGTTTTCAGGAGTTTTTGCCACTGGTGCGATTCTGCAAAAGTGAGGAGGGTCTTTCTGTTTTTTTTTTTTTTTTTT